TGCAGATTTTGTAAAATAAAAATTTGTATTCTTAAAAGAATCACAATTACCAGCAATATTGTTTTATTTGCATAGTTTGAAAAGTATTGATACAAGTAAAAGTAAAAGAAAAATGAATTGAATTTATGACGTGTTTAATGTATTTTTAAATTTATTGATAAGTAAAACATTCTCTTATGGTGTACAAAGTTTTTCATAATTTCTAGGATTTACTTCTGGAGTAGAAAAAATAACAATGAAAATGTTTATGTAAACATGAGACCTATTTGCCCTTGTTTAAACTTTATAGTACGATATTTGTGACATATTTTCATAGATGGTACGAAAATGACCATCTTTGCTATGGCTTCCATGAGAATATTATACTTTTGTTTATTAATTTTAGAACAAGGTCAAATAAGATATATTACCACTATGATATGAAACTATGATTATATTGAAGTTGCTTTGAGGTTTGAATTTGCAAAGTTATAAAGATTTAAGTTAGAGCTATTAGATTAAGAGAAGTCGAGTTCTGAATCAAGATTCTGATTTCTGGTTATTGTAATCGGAGATGTCAGAAACAGAAGGTACATAACGATTAACAACATATTAGAATCATAACATCTAGTCATTAAAATTAATACTTATATCATGATTGCAAAAAGGATTTTACAGTACAAATTGCATTTTTTCCAAATATTATTTTATTTGATAATATATTTGCTATTATAAATTTATATACATGTTCAAACTTTTGTATCTTATCTAAGACAAGTATTTTATTGCTAGCAATATCATTATATTTAATATAATAAATAATAGGAAAAGGTTATTCTGTTAAAAACTTAAATTCTTTGAGAATAGAACTTTTAGTTAAATACATAAAACAACCAAAATTTATTGCAAATCCATTGAAATATAGAATATATTATGTGTATTATAATGATGATGATGAATAAAATTTAAGTATGTATGTTGCATTAATGTTATACTATAGAGAAAAATTTAATCTGCTTTATAGGCGCTCCAGAAACAGACGAACAGCAGCGCTTACGATTTCAGGTTGAACTTGAATTTGTTCAATGCCTTGCCAATCCAAACTACTTAAACTGTATGTTTTTTAATTTTCTTTATATAATTTACTATGGTTATCAAATGTATTAATTATATGTTTTTATAGTTCTAGCACAACGTGGATACTTTAAGGATTCAGCATTTATTAATTACCTTAAATATCTGTTATATTGGAAAGAACCAGAGTACGCAAAGTATTTGAAATATCCTATGTGCTTGTACTTCTTAGACTTATTACAATACGAACACTTTAGGAGAGAAGTAGTAAATTCTCAATGTACCAAATTTATAGATGACCAACAGATATTATTGTGGCAACATTATACTAGACGTAGGACAAGATTGTTGCAAGCAGCAGCAGAACAAACGCAACATGTAAATCCTCAAAACAATGGTATTGTACAACCTAAAGTTCCTTGAGTAATATATATGACCAAAGAATATAGACTGTTACATGGGTCTATT